TAATGAAAAAGAAAGCCTGAGTTTTAGGTATTTTAAGCCAGAAGCAGCACTTTCACAGAGCACTTGTGCTGAGCACAGAGCCTGCACTGAACCAGTACTTCAAGCAGCAAGGTGGTATGTGTGCCCTGCTGGGGGCGGTGATCTGTTCTGCAGTTACAAGGCACACGAATGTGCCTTGTGAATGTTTAATGAATGAATGTTTAATTCTCCTTTATAAGAGTTGCATAAATTACAGTGTTAGATGTATCCTTAGCTGTATCTATGACTCCTTTTCCAGAAAGGAAGCTAGGGCTGAGAATACCCATTCATGGATAATTTCCTTAGGTAACCAGGGTTAGGATTATTTATGTCTTCTGAAGCATCCAGCAGTCAGTGCAGCAGTATGTGCAGGGCTTTTCCTGCCTCTTTTTAAGACTGGCCTCTCCACTCTAAACACCTACCTGTTGATCCTCTTCCATACATCAAAAGAGACACTAAACAAACTTCACTTTCCAAAGCACTTTAAACATTTATGGCATAGCATGCAACAAAACTGTAAAAGCCCCTTGACAAAACACAAAATGGAAATAATCTAAACAAGAGACAAACAACAAAATATCAACAAATTAACTAGGGAAGGAAGCCTGAAGCCAGAAGTAAGAGAGCATAGTTTATTCTTTTGTAGCAGAGCAACAATTTTACTGCAAGGTCAAAGCAAACTGCAAAGCTCAGCTGTACTGAGCTTTGGCCCAAATCAGGTGGGAGTGCACCAAATCATGACCAAAGGCTTCTCAGACCAAAAATTAACTTTCCAAGTTAAAAATGGACAGACCAGGAAGAAAGCAGTATAGGAAAATAACAGATTCCTGGTGTAGGTGACAAGCTTAGCCTAAGAAAGAAACCATGGACACTTCCTCTAAAAACCTGTGAGATTTCTAAGCTTCTGTTATCAAGCAATGCATCTGGTAGTGGGAATTTGGCAGAGTTTAGTGAAACATGGCAGTGGATGAGATGAGAGCACAGAAAAAGCATGTGAAAAATGACTGATCTTACACTAGGAAACAAAATCAGCTTACAGAATCTATAAAGGATATCAGTGGGAGGTGTAAGAAAACCTACAATCACAGAAAGTGCTACTTTTCCCAAAACAAAGGTCAGATCATAAGAAACTGAATTCAGGGTACTTAAATCACCAAGAAAATCTGGACACGGTTATTAATAGATTAGTATCTCCTCCTTGGTATCATGAAAACAGATATGAAAGCAACTTGTTATCTGCAGTCTTCATTGTGGTAAAATACATTATGAATCAAAAAAAAAACCAACAGTGTGATACAAGAACATTCTCCCTTGGCTTTTGTTTGGATTCTACTGTGGTAAGAACCTCAGACTAGAAGCCACCACAAGGAACATGCTTCTTTCAGCTGCATCCCTAATTAGGTTTGTTACTTTGAATACCTGCTTTCTTCATTTTATCACTCTGTTTCAGAGAAGCTTAGGGCATCCAACCTGTGTACCTTCCATGATGGTGAGTACTGCTGTTTTGGATACACCAAGTGACATATTTAGCAACCAAAGTAACACTTAGGAGAGAGAGCAGAACACTGCTTTCCAAGACAGGTGTTTTATTTCACAGCAGCATGGTGCATACAGTTAGCACTGACAAAAGACTAAAAGCTGTGCCAAGATACATTTCACTAAAAGATCATGGTAATACGTGAACACTTGTCTTTGATTTAAGGAACAACAAAGAACACTAATATATAACTGCAACATTGTTATTGCTCTGCTCTGGGGTATGCTATTCACAAAGTAATGTGTTCTTATCGGACTCGTGCATGTGCAGTTCTCATGTTAAGTGCACTATAGCTGAAAAGAATACAGATGATGTATTGGACCATTTCAAATGCAGTGTGTTAGAATTTTGCCAGCAAAATTCTGAAAGCAGGGACAATTCTGGATTTCAAGAGAGAATGAAATTCCTTAGCTCAACAGATGCTAAAAATACCACAGAAACATGCAACTATGAAGACTTTCTTTTTACTTCCCCCTCTAGCAAGGAGGGTTAACATTTATGTCCATGACATTAAAGGTGCCTCAGATATCAGCATCTGCCAAAGGCATTGAGAAAAAATAATCACTTCAGAACACGTCCCCTGGCAGAAGGAGGGTACCGAGGAGACCCAGAGCAGAATGGAAGCAGGTTACTACTGCTTGCAGGGACAGGCAAGTTCCCTCCCCGCCTGCCTCACCTTCTCAAGTGCCCTTACACAACAGGCGTGAGGCCCTGGAACAGGATGGACAGACAGCTGATGATGTGGGCAAGGTTTTCCTGCTGTGCTGATCCTCCTTTCTCTGCTGAACAGTGACAGGACCCGAGGGAACACATGAAGACACATCAGGGAAAGTGTAGGCTGGATATAAGAAAACATTCTTCACCAGAGGGTGTTAGGGCACTGGAGCAGGTTCCCTAGGGAAGTGGTTACAGCACCAAGCCTGACAAAAGTTCAAGCAGCATTTGAACAACACTTCTGAGCACACAGAATGTATTTTGGAGCTGTCCTGCACAGGGCCAGGAGTTGGACTTCATGATTGTTTTGTGTCACTTCTGACTCAGGATATTCCATAATAAATAGAAGTTTCAAAATAGAAGGAATACTTAAAACACCGATCAGAACATTTAGCAAATTAAATTCCTGCTTCCAAGGTCTATTTTGAAAGGCTGGTGGTTGCTGGTGCTGCTACAAGACCCCATTAGTCCTTCCCCAGAAGATGGCCACTCAACATGCAATGGCTGAACATGAAGTGGCTGGGACACTTAGGCAGGCCATGGAAGTGGTTGAGATGCAGGAGTTAAAATGAAAGAAGGCACATGAAAGGAATAAGTCTGGGCAGATGAGGCATTTCTCCTTAGAAACTAAACTCAACTGACAAGTTGAATGCACAGCAGGGGACAGACTCATAACTTTTATCCAAGTTTGCATGTTTCACTTAGTTTATGATACAATGGGAAAATATGTAACAGTATTTTGGGGCTGAAAATTAGCATATTTTTCAGCAAGTCTCTCGAACATGCAAGCACACAACATCTGCAGAGACAGGGAAAAATGCTTGCTTATCACTTGTCTCATTTACCAGACTCATTTACCTCAGAGTTACACTACACACTTTGCTATTTGTCAGAAATGGAAAACATTCCTGTACTTACTCAGAGGTACAAGTGTCTGATTAAACACTCCACTTAGTGCAACCGAGCATGGCAGAACAAGTGCTGTACAACACAACACAGCAAAATGAGATGAGTAACTGCAGGGAAAGGACAACTAAGTGCCTTTCATCAAGCATGCCAAGGAGGGCATGCATCTCTTTTTTTTGAGACATATCCTGAAGAATTTTGGCACTTAGTAACAAGCAAGTCTCCTACAACACTTGAAAGACACACTTCAGAAACTAGGTTAGTTAGTGCTCAACAACACACTATTAGGATCTTAAACACAAGGATTGTTTTAATCATCAAGCCAATGCACACCACTGTATCAGCAGAAACAGTGCGCTGCTTCCCTTTCCTTCACTTTCCACGTACCATCTCCTCCTGCTTCATGAGTCATTACTCACAGACCACTGCATTAACATATGTGGATTTCTTGGGCAGTAACTTAAACAAATCACAGAACTCAAGTCAAGATTTTTTAAGGACTGAGCCTTGGGATTCTCAAAAACAAACAGAATATGCCATTTTGCTATCTGAAATACTTTGAACTTTCACATCATATTCAAATGTATGTTCAAAAAAAGAGACAAATAACTTTGACTCCATATGAGTACAGCTAATGTTTTAAAAGACTGCATGGTATTCAAGCAAGAGAGGAAGATCACAGCTTCCCATGCTGGTATCTCAGAGTTAATCTCCCACAAGTCTGCTTGACTAAGACTGAAATAAAACTGCACTCATTAGTTCAAAATGTTAATGGTCACACTTCAATATTTGCATGCCATCAGTCTGGCATTCAGGCTTTGTGCAAGGACAATGCCTAATGTGAAGTTCTTTTTTCCAAACTTTAGTTTCCCTAGAGCCAAATATTAGCAGCTGAGCATATTAATGTGAGGTTTCTTTATTCACTCTGGGTTTCTCTTGGTTACTGTAATGCCACCAGTAGTAACTGGGTTTTTTTTTAACATGTTTGTAAAACTACTGTATGACCACTGTAATTTCTATATGTTCACTTAGCTTGATCTAGATGCCACATCATAAAATGATGTTTCTCACAGTCCTAACCATATTCCTGGTTAATTCCACCTTCATACAGGCAGAATTTCGGCCAACAGCACTGGACTCAGAAACATACTCTAAAGCTACTTAAAAATATATGAAAACTAAGAATATTTCTGTTTTCCTAACATATGCTCTGAAATTTTCTTTTATGTAACAGTTTGCTATATACTTTTTCACACAACAGCCATTTTAAATTCTATTTTTTTAAGTATTTATAATATGAATGCATCCCTTCATTCTTCAAAGATTTAATCTAAAAAGTAAAAAAATAGTTAAAGATTAAATCCTTTTTTAAATTAAGGTGGTAGAGGACTGAATTTCACTTTGGACTTTTTAATGTAATCATTTTCTTCTACCATCATTGTCTAGCCACACCCTAAGGCAGGCCTCAACTCATACAGAAGTGAGGACATCTCTACACCTCCACTAAAACGTTATTTATTCTAGAAAGACAGTTTACATCCTCATTGCCCTTTTCCTTTCCCCTCCTTTTCAATTCCAACAAATATAGGCTCTTTCCAAAGACTTTGGACAGATTCAGTCTCAAGGACAGGAAAGTAACAGCAGTTTAGAACAGACTTTTTTGATCCCCATCCAGGCAGGTTATCAGTTAATTGCTTAATTCTCACCAAGGCTGGTCAAACAGCCCTTATTAAAAAAAAAAAAAAAAAAAGAAAAAAAGAAAATTCAAACTTTAATAATTTACTTAATTATATAAAAACAAAGCAGTGCCAATATTGATACTTACAGGCTGAGGCTGTTCTGCAATACAGCAGTTGAAACACAACCAAAACTCACTCATTGTTTACAGTCTGAAGTGGGAACACAGATGAAAAGCAGGACTCAACCTTTGTAAGTCTGCCTGTTCTTTGAACAGGTTTATTTTTAATGGCTCCAATGTGAAAATTTTCTTTTCGGATGAGCTCTTCTCCAAAGACAAGTCAGTCCCAGGACAAAGAACTTGAAGGCAAAAAGTTATTTTAGAGTCTTCTTCCAGAAGGTTGATCCCAGCACCAGAGAAATATTACGAATGCTTCTTTGGTCCCTAGCGTTACGTGAACCTGAAAACAGAAGCACACGAATCAAAAAGAGAGAATACAAAGAATCTCAAGCTCCAAGCCAGCCACCCACACCATTGATTTCTTGGTAATACCCTGAATCAGAGATTGAAAGACTTTAGCAGACAAGTCAGGTGCTTTTTTCTACAGCGACTACCAAAAATGGCATATAACATAAATCCATATGAGACTTGCATTCCAGTTTTGGTTAGACTAAGTGATACCAAGAATTGGTTTTCAATCTTTTGGCAGTTATCTCTGTTTGTTTCTAACTTTCAGAAAGTGATAATTGCCCATACACCCCTTTATCTTATTAGAGAATCGTGCCTGTTAACACATCATACTTCTCAAGGCATACATACTTCTCATCATACACTCACAGTGTGAGATTTAAATGGTATTTAACCTCAACCCTGTTACACAATTGTCAATTAAAGGTATGCTCTCCTAAATGTCAAGGAAACAAATACATTTCTGTATATAGAATATTTGCAAAATGGCTGGACCTGGTCAACACAATGTATTTTCTTTCCTTCCACCCTCTTCTACCCTATGCCTCATTTACAGTTTACTTCAAAATAGGGTATTAGTTGTAGACCTTGAAATTGTTCCCTTAAACCTCTAAAACTCCTCAAGTGGAACAAATGAGGCTCCAGATTCCAACAATTCCTTTGCTCAAATAATGTTTATTGGTAAACCTCCATTCTGGTTTCTTTCAGTAGGAGTGCAATAAAAATTCCTGTGAGACTTCATTTATCTTGCAACATATCAAACTTTACTTGCAGAGAAAGCGAGATAATATTGAGAAGGTTTTTACTAGCATACTCCTTAACAATTCTTTATACACTTGCATCTTCATTTACACAGATGTTTGCACAACTATGCAATTTCTATTTCTATGCAATTCCTCACAGTATGAAGTGGTTTGGAGACTCCATGCAATGCATGAAACTAGGCATATATCAGTGTACACCTTCAGTGGCAGAGCAGCTCCACTTTGCTACCATCTTCATTAGTTTGCTACGTGCCAAGCACATGAGCAAAGCTGTCCCTCATTTATTTACACACACACCAAATCAGTGCGCTGTGTGGCTGTGACAGGCCACGTACTTTCCACAACTACTCTCTACAACACGCACAAAAAGAATACAGCAGAACCTTTTCCATGCGATCTCCAAAGCTTTTGGGAAGCTCTCACATTTCTTGGTTTTTAAGACACTATCTGAAGCTCCTTGAGAAAAAAAGGCATGCTGCAGTAACAACATCTAAATAGCAACACCCCATCTAAAGTATTCTCATCTCCTAGCTTTGCAAAATCAACTGATACTGTCAAAATTAGGTTTATCTGCCTGCTTCTTAGATTCCTTGCTTAAAGACCAGAACAGGAAGCAGTGGGGGGGATATGCTTTGCTAGGTTATCCTGTTGCTAACACCATATAAAACAAAGCAACTTTATTAAACAGGATACCTTGAGGGCAAGAAGGAAACATAAACCAGCAAACAATCCCTGCGCTGACAAAAATACTTCTGTACAACCTTTTGCTTGTCAGATACTTGAAAAGAAGGTCTTAGAACAGAGCTAACATGATATTTTTTCACTACTTAAATGATGTTTTTCCTTTCCTTTTCCTGGTTTAAAGATCACCATTTAAATCCCATGAATGGATCACGAAATTGCAATAAAACTTGGGTTTCAGCAACCAGTAGTGTGAAACCCAAGACTGAAAACAGAAGTCTCTACAGAAGTTCTCACTCCATACTTAGGTGGTCTCAGACCCATTTTCTCAATTATTCTGGCAACTGAAAATTTCATTAACTTTAAATAGCAAGAGTAGCAAAGAAAAGCTTGACAGAAAAATACTCGGCTGATCTCTACGGGCTCAGAATTTGCACACCACACAATTATTTACTAAATTTGATTCAGTATGTTACAAAATCAAAAGTAAAATGCAGTTAACTCCTGTTAAGCATGTAATATTTGATACTTCTAGTCCCGTGGCTATACAGCTTATGTCTCCGTAAGAGCTGGTTAATTCACTTCTAAGACGGGCGTGAAGTTTTTCTGAAACACAGCAATGCCCTTCCCAATGCTAGTGGTTCAGATTATGAGGAACTGAGAAATCAAACACTCAAAGTTAGCATTTTCAAGTTTGATATAGTGTAAGCTGTAGAGCAAGGAGTGGGTGTTGCACAGTTAGCTTTTCTTGCTGCGCAAGGAGTCTGATTTGTGACTCCTGAAACTGTGATACTTGTTGCTTCCTTACAATCTCTTTCTGACTAAGTCCAGAACTGACGTATCAAATTCTTACTGTCACAGAGGGTTAACTTTGATCTGCGTGTTACACCCAAGTACAGAAGACACATTCTGAAGGGCAGGGAGATTTGTTTTGTTGATGTGCCTCTGTGTTTGCTCGCTCAGAGCTGGCACACTCCTCCAGCTCACCGCAGCCTCGGGCACCGTGCTGAGCTGCAGCCCTGGGAGCAAACCTGGAGGGCTCTGTGTGAGCCTGGAAAGCTCTTCCTGGTTACAGAACACCCAAGGGTGCAGAAGCCTTGCTCTACACAGCCACTCTCTGCATGCAGGACTTGCGACCTCCAGGACAGTCAAAACTGACTCCCGGCCTTAGATCTAAAGCTTTTGAATGACAAAGCCAAGCTAAAGATCGTAAATAATAATCTCTGATTACATGCTTATTCTTAAAAAGGCATTTTCAACTCTACAGACTGTAAAGTGCTACATTTGCCTTTAGTTTGGTGGTTCAGCAATCACCAACACTTTTTCAATCTGTTGACTTTTAATTAAAACACACAGTTGACATATCAGTATGTCTGGAGAAAACTGACATTAACTGCACCTCTTAGAAGGAAATGAATGCTTAGCTGTACTTTTCAGAGCTCTGGAATTTCATACATATTCCCAGTTTGCTAAACAAATGATTTTTACAGGAATCAAGTCAAAATAAATATCAAGTATAAATCTGTTGCACCAATATGGAAAGAAAAGCAATTAAGCTGAAAGCAAAAAGGTGTATCGGTGCTAACGCTGACGTTACTGACAACACACTAAAACTTCTCTTACACTGTCAGTTGCTTGTTTAAAGATCAAGTTGAAACAGGAAAATTCTGCAGTTCTTTTCCAAATTATTGGTTATAAAGAAAGAAAGAGAAAAAAAAAATATAGTGGCCTACAGCTTCTAGTCAGGTAATTATCTAACATTAGCACACCAGCAATCTTGTAGGAAATTGTTCCTGCAAAGCTTGAATTGCACCCCAAGCCTAGCTGCAATTAACAAGGCCCCAAAATATATGCAGTATTTCATATCTAGTTCCCTCCTTTTTTACAGGATTAAGATTTGAACCACAGAACCACAGAATGGTCTGGGTTAAAACGGACTTCAGAGATCATCTTGTTCCAGCCTCCCTTCCACCAGCCCAGGTTTCTCAGGGCCCCATCCAACCTGGCCTTGAACACTGTCAGGGATGGGGCATTCACAACTTCTCTTGGCAACCTGTGCCAGTGTCTCAGCACCCTAACACGGCATGGTTTGCAGTACTGCTGCCTTTGTCAGAGCAGACTTGCCAGATACAGAGCACAACAGAGGCTGAAGAACACACTCCACAGTGACAGCTCTGCCACCCTTTGGTTTTGCTCTTTGCTCTTTGCTCAGTCTATGGTGCTCAGAGTGGCAGAACACCGTAGAGCTCACATTGAAAAGACAAGACAATTGCTCTGTCTAAACCGGAAATTTATCAGTGATGAGTGGTGAAACACCAATTTGTTTTTCCCATGTAAACTTTCTGAACTCTCAGTGCAACTTATTTTAGAGTGGATGATTCACACTGCAAAAACACACAGGATTATCATGCTGAACGACTCTGTTGCATCTTAAGGCCTTTATACCTTAGTTATTATAACAATTTAATAACGTATCTAGAAATAAGTATAGAGAAATCAAGATTTTAAAAACAATACATTGTTTAAAATTTAAAGTGAAACACCAATAAGGTAATTTTCTTCACTCTAAGGTTAATTTCATGGTGGCTGGTCTAATGCAAAAACCAAAACTACTGCTTATTGTTAAATACCAGTCACAAAGGCAGGAAGTGCAAGCACTGCATTAATGATTAATGGGCAAAGTACACTTTATATTATAGTATCACCAATTTTTCTTACTAAAGCAGCATTAGCTTTTTGGTGAGAAATATACAGAGCAGGAAAGGTAAACTAAGACATCAATTTTCCCTCTAAGCTTTTCAAATTTATTGATATGGAACAGGTTAGACAGCATTTACCTTAACTGATCCAAACAGGAATATGCATTATGCTGTGGAGCGTCAGTTAGAATAAAACTACTTAATAAATATACAGTTTGAGAATAGCCTGGTCTTTTTAAAAAGGCATCCTTTTAAGGATGAATTTTCGATATCTTTTGACTGTATGCTGTTCACTGTGGCTTTACACAGGAAATGTGGTAACAATGCTCTTTGACAATCACTTGAAATAAATAAAACCACAGGAAGAGAAAAAAAAAAAACTACAGGTGTTAGCATCTGAATTTAACTAGGCTTGCTCCAAAGCTCAGAGTATTACTTAAGAAGAATGGGGGGGGGAAAGTGTAAAAAAAAGAAAAAAAATTTTGTTCAAATCATGAATGAAAATCATGCCATGCCATGGTATGTCCTGACACAACATGATGTGCCATAATAGGCACATGTAGGCACAAAGTCACAACCAAGCCCACTAACAGTATTTTAGTCTCAAGTACTTCATAAGAAAAAAACCTTCCAGTTGTTCTTGCTATAGGAGATTCATCCCAAGAAATACATGGGTATTTTGATTTGGTTTTTATGCCTTAAAGGCTTTGAAAAACTGTTATTTCTTTCAATCCTGCAAGTTGTAAGTAGAAAATTATCATTTCTGAATGTACTTCTAAGACGTCTTTCACATTTTGCACTTTAAATTTCTATTGTAGCCACACTATTTCGTCTTGACATGACTAAAT